TTGAAAATGCTGCACGCAGCCTGAATCAGTGACAGCGTGGATGATGCAGAGCCGAGGCACAAGGTCACCGGTTCAGGACGCCCACCTGGCCACACACACACACACACACACACACACACACACACACACACACACACACACACACACACACACACACACACACACACACACACACACACACACACACACACACACACACACACACACACACACACACACACACACACACACACACACACACACACACACACACACACACACACACACACACACACACACACACACCTTCTCTTAAACTTGTTTGTGTTGAGGTGAAAACACGTTTAAGAAAAGATGCCTGCGCTCAGAGAAAGCTCAACCAAACCACCATTAAGAAATACGTCATTTTAACAGAAATCACTCAAGTAAGTTAAACCCCATCACTTCAACAACACAAGTGAGTATGCAATAACGTGTTGATAATATTTACTTTAATTCGGCGTTGTTATAATCCACAAAATTACAATACAGTGCTTTACAGACGACAAATTCCCCACCAGCCTCCGTTACACGGCGTCGCTATTTTAAAGGGGGGCATACCGTTGGATTAAGAGGCGAGCCGTTTAAAAAAAGTGAATTTTCAAATTAAATACGTGCCGTTTGCCAATCAAAAGTACGCCGAATTAAACACGGACTCTTGATTGTTTAGTTTCGCCGTTTTCAGTGTTTGTGTAGAGGAATTTGGAGGACATTTATCAAGCGTTACCTTAGTCGTGACAATACAGATGCAGTCCATCGTTCGGAGCAGGGAGGAAAGCCCGGGAACATCAGCATCTCATCGCTCCGTGCGGACAGTTAGCTCTTCATGAAGACCGTGGTCATAAGTAACGACACACACACACACACACACACACACACACACACACACACACACACAGCCTCTAACAACCGGAGAGAGAGTGTGAGCTCACCGGAGAGCCACCTCCGCCCTCCCCCGGTCCTCCTCCATCCCGGTATCAGGAGCTCACTCAGCGGACGCGAGACTCGCTGAACCCCGCTCCCACATTCGAAGGGTGCGTTTAAGCACCGTGGGAAATCGCAAACCTCTGAAACGTTTTAATATCTTCCAGGGGGGGAGGATGAGGACCGGACCAGACAAATAAATCATGAAGGGAGGAAGATTTTATATCAGTATGCACTTCGAGAAAATAATGGAAACGACGAGAATAAAGTCGAAAAGGTAAATATAAAGAATGAAGTTGACTTCATTCATTCTCAACTTTCCTCAATATTTAGACTTTTATTCTGAATTTGTTTTTCGACTTTATTTTCAACATTTCAAGTTTTTCTCGACTTTTGTTCCTCTCGACCTTCTAATTTTTTTAGACGTTTCAACTTTGTTCCCAAGAGATTGACTTTTTTCTCGACTCTCTAAATGTTTTTTATTTCATTCTCGACATATCAACATTTTTCTGGAGCTTGACTTATTTATAACTTAATATTTTTACCTTGTTTTTCCTCGATACTGTAACCCCGAGGGCTGACAAACTTTAAACTTGTCTGTCAGCCCCAAATTTTACAATGACAGTTGGAAACCTCCCTAAAGGGGCCCCGTCTGACAATACTCAATGGTGTTGTGCTGTTTCCAAATATTCCTGTGAAATCTCAAGTTAGTCACTTTAAATTGACATTGGTATCAGTCAGACTATTTTGAACATAATGATGATGATAGCTGGTTGGCGGGGCCCCTGGTGGATTCCGCTTAGGACCCCCAAACTGACCCTAGAAACACCACTGCGTAAAGATCATATCATCACATCAAAACATAAATTATGATGGTTTAACTTGAAAACATGAGTAAATCAAGCTCTCCTCTCCTCTAAAGTATATTAAATAGAAGTAAAGAATCTAATTTTTCAACCAAATGTCCAAAAATAACCCAAAACAAAGATCGGCAACTTAAAAAGAGACTAAGAAAAAAAGCAAATCTCATAACTTTTGGCATTTCATGTTATTAAACGTTTCAAATGACTCTTGGAATATTCCCCACATCACATTTCATCAATCACCTCGTTAACTGACAAATTATTCCCACTGTGAATTCAAGTTTGTCCAACTTTACATCAGACCCTGAACTCACCACGACTACACAGAAGCAACATGTCACCCTCAGAGAGAATCACACATTTGTTCTAAATTCAACAACTTTGAAACACACAGGCTGCTTGTTATTACATGTATGACTCAACGGCAACATGGCCAAGGAGGAGGAGGAGGAGGAGGAGGAGGAGGAGGAGGAGGAGGAGAGTGTGTGTTTCGTCAGCAGGAGATGAAGCAGAGTGGGCGTGTGGGAATCATCAGTATGAATATTTCACAGTTCCTTGAATCCGTCGTGTGGCAGCGTCCACCACTCATGTGTGTCATCATGCCATGTATCATACCTCCTAATAAACACATCAACAGGAAGTGATGTCATCCATATTTCACAATCTGGAGCGCTCTTAATTATCTTAAAAAATATTAGAAATGTAAAATAATCTCTTCTTTAAGAACCACCTGCTTAAGAAAAGGACATTCTTATCCATCTTACTGGTTATAAATGTATTTATTTCCCAGGTTTGTCAGATATGAGAGCAGTTATCAGGTCAACAGGTGTTGCAGCGATGGAAGCGGTCAAGAGAAGTGGTTCAGATAGAAGTGATTGTACCCGACCTAAAAAGCCTCTGCATGTTTCTAATAAGCTCCACGAGCAGAAACGTGCTCAAACTAGGATCAATATTGGAGATGCTTTTGAAAAATGGAGAGAGGTTAGAACACAGAAAGGTTTACAGACCCATGCAGAGCTGGATAAACACTGAAGCTTCAGAGTCCACCACATGGTGACCTGAGTGAGGGGGGGGAGACAGCTCTCTATGATGTTTAGAATTTAGACTGCAGTACCCATTTTAAACACTAGGGGGCAGAGTTACATACTGCTCCTAATATCTATCTACTTTGCTTCATGTCTCTTTGTCGTGATGTTTGCTCGCCTTGTTGCTGAAATGTGTAATAAATATAATTAAACTTGACAAACATTCTGGTACAAACACTTTAAACCTTCACACAGATCCGCTCCCTCTGAAAACCACATCATTTAAAATCAATCCAACATTCAGTTATTAACAACTTTAACAATCATGGGACAGATGCGATGAACGGGCGTCTTTTGATGCAGACCAACATGAAATCACAGAACAGGAACCTAAAGACTCAAAAACCTGCACAAAGACCAGAACTGAAATCCACATGAGCCACCACCACCTCGGTCCTGAACCTCAGTACAGCTCCCGTCTCTCAAGCTGAGAAACTGCAGCCGCCGTAGAGTGAGCGAGGGAGGGAGGAGTGGAGATACTGAATGAATCCTAAACATGTACGGAGGACGAATGCTGCCATAACAGAAAACATTAAAATAAAGCTTGATGAAATATTAGTGGAGCCGTTAAATTAACCGTCAAACATTCATATTTATAGAGATTCGTTTTTTGGGGGGGGGGTTTTTTGTTCAATTTGCCTTTTTGTTTATTTTCATTTTAATACCGTAAAACTTCTATTAGTAGCCCGGGCTTTTATTTACCTCAGGCCTCGTCCAGACTAGGAATCCAATAATTCTCAATAATCCTGAACTGTTCCGTACGGCCTCCACGGTTCAGTTTTTTTGCATATGAGCTTCCTGCAAAGTATTTCTCTCTGAATTGGCTCTGTTGGTTTGTGTCTGTGAGTTTACGCGCCGCAATAAGGAAACCCCTCGTCACTGAGTTAATATCCAATCACCACGCGCTAAAGTTGGGTATGGTAACAACAACCCTAAACATGACGAGCGGTGAGGAGAGGCTGCAGTACGAGGAAACATTGCCATCTTCAAACTCGTGTAGTGGGGAAGTTTTGGTTAGTTTTCGCTTTACATGTCACCTACGCAAATAGAAACACTTACGGAGTTTGTCTAACAGAGTTAGAAGGCTGTCACGTTAGCAGGCTGTCACGTTAGCTGGCCGTCACGTTAGCAGGCCGTCACGTTAGCAGGCCGTCACGTTAGCTGGCCGTCACGTTAGCTGGCCGTCACGTTAGCAGGCTGTCACGTTAGCTGGCCGTCACGTTAGCAGGCCGTCACGTTAGCAGGCCGTCACGTTAGCAGGCCGTCACGTTAGCTGGCTGTAACGTTTGCAGGCCGTCACGTTAGCTGGCTGTCACTCAGACATCAGCATGATGCAGACGGGGTGAGAGTGAAGGGAGAAACAGTGTTTGAGACAAAGCTAACATACAGACCCGTTTCTGTGTGAAAGTCTGCGAGTATTATACAAAAAAATATTTTAAAACCTGATATGTCTTCCTATTTGTACATTTCTACGTGGCACTAATTAAACACCGCCTTCACTGAGACTTTACACCAACCACCAGGAGTGTCTATAAAGGGAAACAGTTTGTTTTCTTTTGCTTAAAAGTAAAATAAAGAGAGCCTAGTCAGAACCAAACCAAAAACCATGACCTAAAAAAACAGCGGAACGTATTTTAGCGTGGGCTGACAGTATTGTTGCATCCCTCGTCCAGACGTAGGCGGGTACTTTTGAAAACGTAGCTTTTTCCGTGCGTTTCGGCCGTTTAACGGTTTAGGTAGCTGAAAAACGCTTCTTTTGTAAAACTCCTTCCATGGTGAAGATTTTCAGAAACTCCATTTAAGGCGTTTATGTGTAGTGTGTTAACATGGAGGAGGCGGAGCTTAAAGCAGGGGAGCTCCAACAGCTCATTCGCAGCCGTGAGGACAGGAGGTGTACTGAGCAGAGCCGACAACATGAGCCAAAATGGATGAAGCACAATGACCCATGACACCTGAACCCAGCGTAAACCACCTCAACGTGTCGCTGTGTTTCCTCTCACTTCCTGCTGCGGCGTTTGTTTTTCACCGCTGCTTGGAGAGTGAATGGCGCTGAACATCGAGGAGCAGCTGGAGAACAGAAACTCAGCCACAGCACGATTACACGCGCGAACTACAGCGACACCTTGAGGTCATCCTGACCCTGGACCCAGAAGGCCCCCCCCCATCCCCCCATACGATGGTCCCAAGCACATGAGGACTGGATGGGACATGCGGCGAGAGGTGGAGGACACCGACACCCCCTCCTACCAAAACAGCAGGCAGTCCAGTACTTACTTGTCCGTCAGAGCCGGGCGGGTGTTGCGCCTGCGCCAACGTGTGCAGGATTTCGTTAAGGAGTGGTGAGTCCTACGAGCACGACCACGTTTGTTTACAATCAGAGAGAGAGAGAGGAAAGAGAGAGAGGGAGTTCAATGCAAACAGGAGAGAGAGAGGGGGGGGGCACATATGCTGAGGTTTGATTTCAGTCTGTTTACGTGCCAGACGGGCGGAGTTAGTCACAGCAGAATGTTTAAAGAGAACATGAATATCATAAGACAGATGTGTAGGAGAAGAGTGAGGCCATCGTTCAGTCATATATTTGTAAGAACTCGACATAAAACAGGACGTAAAGACAGGTGGACTGAGCGTAAAGCTAAACCTAATAATATCAAAATAAATAACCATTGTGATTCTCTTTCGATCCTCTGTGTCCCTCAGACAATAAATCAGGATTATATCGTCATATATCCAGATGTGAGGAGGGCGCTCAGACGCCAGCTGGTAACGGTCGATTCAAACATTCACTCGATCTCATATCAGGACAAGGAAACGATTATATTCCAATAATTATAATCCCATAACCTGTGAGGACAACATGGGAATACGAGAGACTCATGAGTTTATCCAGTCAGTGAGATGTGTAGAGAGTGAGATGATAAAGGTATCTTACTATCTGATCATTAAGGAAACATGCTATGTTGAAGTGCTGGCTTCTCTGACAACAATGCAGCAGCCAGTATGTCCTCCTTCTAACTTTAGATTCTGCTCCTGAATGCTCTGGATTTGTTTGGACCAGAGAAGGTAGGCGGTTTAAAGATGACCCCCCCACACGGCCGTTTTGGACACCCCTCGGTTTGTCAGATATGAGAGCAGTTATCAGGTCAAATGCAGAGCTGGATAAACACTGAAGCTTCAGTGTCCACCACATGGCAAACTGCGTGAGCATCGACTCTAGGGGGGGGAGACAGCTCTACAATGCTTAGAATTTGGACTGCAGTACCCATTGCAAACACTAGGTGTCAGAGATACATACTGCTCCTTTAAATCATCCTTAAATGTTTCATTTTTTAGTTTCTTTAATTCAAGTTTTGTATTTGCTCTACTTCTTTAAATCAAGTTTGATTCCTGCCTCTTTAATTGTATTAATATATCCAGCAGGTTAAGAAAAAACAGGAAACAAACTTCTCCTTTAACTATTTCAACAACATCTGAAGTTTCTGGATTCCAAAGGAAAGCGCCAACAAGGGGCGCCGGAAGCGTAGTGGTTAATGTGCCCACCCTTTGTACGGAGGCTGTAGTCCTCCAGGCGGGCGGCCCAGGCTTCGAGTGCGACCTGTGGCTCCATTCCCCACTCTCTCTCCCTGATTTCCGACTCTATCCACTATCCTATCTCTACAATAAAAGGCATTAAAAGCCAAAAAACAACATGATCAGACAGAAAACCAACAGAAACATGAGCAAAAGGAGAAAATTGAGTAGCAGCGGAAATTAACAGAAAAAAAGTTTCAAAATAAAACATTTAAAACTCGTCCCTCACACAGGACGGAGGCTGACGCATCAAACAGACTGCAGCTCCGTCAGTCAACCTCCTCCTGCTGCGCTTAGAAAAGGTGTGATCTATTTTTAAACGTTTTCTATTTTTAACATCCGCATCAAACAGAGTAAGATAAATTTAGACAGAGGGAAACTTTAAAGAGTTGAAATAACCAAGACACAGTTTACTTTCTGAGTCCAAGTTCAGACGAAACGTGAAGAGAAATATTCCCTTTGTGGTGGAGCACGGGATCATTTAGGGTTTAAATGTGAAATAATAAGCCCCTCAGGATAAGAATTAATGGTAAAGTACGTCCACAAGAGATCTCTGTTCAGCTGAGGAGCATCCTTTAGGCCTCATCCACACGTAGGGTCTAAGTCGACCTGGAATAGATCAGTCCACGCCCGGCTGTAAGGAACTCTAAAGGTCAGGATTCACTTCCCCTGCGTTTGTTTGACACATTAGCTGTGCACGTCTTTGAGAATTAACTTGTGGTTACCAGATGTAGCGTGAACATGAACAGTAGGGGGCAGTGAAGAGGCAGAGGGGATAAGTCAACACAGCAGCAGGGACAGAAAGTCGTTGGAAGATCGGTCGGTTCTGTCCACCGGTCATCAGTGAGTCTTGATCTAGGACTGTTGATTATTAGTCTAGATTCAAACATTCATTCTAACCTGGGGGGGGGAGTTCACATTTAAACTGTAATGAGGCATTCAAATGAAAGATTTACAGTCTATCATCACATCAGGCCGTTTGAAGTAGTTTGCAGTTTGATCCAGCAGAGGGCGCTCTCAGCCTAACTTGACCATTGCACGCTTTCTTGACCTCAGTAAATGAAGACAGGGGCGCCATTCAGGAGGTGCAAATTTACCTGAGGTCGATTTCTCACTGCCTTGGTGTAGAGACACAGGGTCACTACAAACCAGCAACTCTCCAAGCTGGCTCGCAGATATTTGTGTTTACCAGGAACGACTGTGCGCTCTCAACGGGTTTTCTCGTCAGAAGGTAATATTGGAAAGAAAAAGAGAGTTGCACTCAATCCTGATAGAAACAAGGTCATAATTGTGCATTTACAGAAAAAGGGGGTATACTGTTCCATAAATAAATCTTGTCGAGTGACCAGCGCTCGCAAGCTAGGAGTCTGTGCCAAGAGTGAAAACAGACGGAGCTAAAAGAGCGACACAGCTGCTCACAAACTGACCGTTGTAGACTTCACTGAACACGATAGAAGACAGTTTAAACTTTTTTTCTCGAGAGAGAACTTCAAAAACAGATTGCGACTGCGACAGGATTTTACGGTAAACAATAAAAGCAATAAAATGACAACAGCAATGTTCAACAAAAAAACAAACAGCACATGTTGAAAGCGGAGCACGATAACATTTGAAGGTATTTATTCCCCCCTTATCAAAAACGATGTCGTGTCCACGCCCCTTAAAGAGACTGAACCACAGACACCAATGACTCCGCTGTGATCTGCGCTGTGATTGGCCGTCGTGTCTCGTGTTGTGATGCGCTCTTACCTCGATGCTGGTGCTAAGGCTGGGCAGAGTATCCGAGGTCACCGTTGTGCTTTGAAGGCTGGAGAAGTCCCACAGGTTGACGGGCGTCATGGGGTCCGCCGCCTTGGAAGACTCCGTCCATCTCTGACTGTCCAATAAGGTCACTTCGTAAAATTCCTGGATATCTGAAACGACGAGAGAGGAAGAGGAACGTTTTAATAAAGAGAGAAAGAGAGTAAAGATGTCTCACTCTAAGTATTTCTTAAATAATTCAAAGTGGAATTTGTCGATTATCAAGTCACCAAAATGCTAAAAGAAAAAACAAGATTAAGAAATTCAATGCATTTCAATTAAAACCTTTAAATAGTGCTTTTTATATGTTATTATAGTGCAGTTGTAAGCGAGGAGGTAAAAGGTCAAATAGTCATAAAAGTCTGATTTGGTGGCAGTAATCTAAGCAGCACTCATCGTCAGAGAGGTAAACACATCGAGTTTGCCTCCAACGATGAGACATTCTGCTTGTAGTTAAATATCTTAATCCTGTCTCTGCACTCCAGACTTCAGTCCCTGTAAGCGAGGCCAGTATTTATAAAAAGCCTTCCGAGCCCAGCGGTCACATCCAAAATGTGTTTTTATTTTTGGACGCACAATTCTGCGGAGGCCTCACAGAGATCTAAAATAACCGAGGCTTTCTTCGGCTCGTCGCAGCAGCTGACCGCCGGCCGACACAGATGTTTTCTCACAAACTGTCAAGATCAGCAACTCAACACCGACTACTACCCCCCGCGCAGTTCATCCTGCAGCATGGAAACAGGCTGTAACGTCGGTTGTCTCAAGAGGAAGGTCATGGGTTCGATCTCCAGCTCCTGCAGCCGCATGTCGTTGGGCAAGACACTTAACCCCAAGTTGCTGTGTGAATGCGTATGAATGGATGAGTTAATACTGATGGACACTTAACATTAGGGCCTGACCGATATCGGATTTTTGGCGCCGATACTGAAAAATAAAAACAATACCGATATATCGGCCGATATTGTTCTTGATCTTTGTTCGATCTGTAGTGATAAATATAAACGTGTATTGTGTTGATCCCTCAGTTATCAAACACTTGTTGAAAAGATTTATAATGAAGACGAGATGGTCACTCAGCTGGAAAATAACTGAGCATGTACGTGCATCACCGCTCCACACTCTGCTGAGTGATGATGCAATCCAGATAGCGCCCTCTGCTGGTGACAGAGAACTGCTAGTGTGATACACAGAAACTCAAATGAAATGCTGTTTGACTGGAGAATAAATCGAGTAATATCGGAACATAGCTGTGATTAAATTAGCCGATTCTGATAGTCACTTGATATGCTGATATCGGCCAAGTTATCGGCCAGCTGACAAATCGGTCGGGCTCTTCTTTACTCAGCAGCCTCTAACATCAGTGTGTGAATGTGAAGGTGTGACTTGCGGTGTAAAAGACTAAAAAAAGAACTAAACAAGCTCGGGTACATTTAGCATGTCCTTAAAGTTCATCCTGAGGGGAACATGAATGTGTGGACTACATTTCATCACGACAACGTTTGATATGTTTCCATCTGGACGGACAGATTTGAGGCTGAATTAGTCGACTTTTTCTGAAGACAGAGACAAACAATGATTCCTGTTTGAAGAGAGGAGGAACTTTATTTTTAGGCCAGCTTCTGTACTACGTTCATATTCGGAGCTATTTCCAGCCACCAAAAGGCCGTTACGTAACATTTGATGGGATCAGTGAAAATGTTTGTTTGGGTCTTTTATCTTCACTGATTTGATTCCGTCTTTTCGATTTGATGTCTCAAAATGATTTCCATGCAGCCGGCGGTTTTATTACGATGTAGTGAGAAATAATCTGCTCAGTGAAACACAGCAGATCTACATGAGAGTTTGATCTTTTGACCGTGTCACCTGTCCGCTGTCTGAGTGAACGGCTGAGATTACAGCGAGGAGTGACTGCAGCAGCGAGGCTCTGCTACTGAGGCATGTCGGGCTTTTACTGTGAAAGAGATGAGCTGAAGGAAGGTTCAGACCGTCTATGTTTCAACATTTACAGAGACCCAACATGAGAGAGAAAAGACTGAAACCTCAAAATGAAGCAGACTGAGAGGCGAACAGACGCACGCACGCACACGCACACACGCACGCACACAGAGTATCTAAAGGGATTAGAGGAGATGAAGGTCAGTTAGGGTCAGCCTGCGCCGGGCTCGAGGGTCACACTGTGAACGTGTGAAAGAAAGACGTCTTAAAGCGAAGAGGAGAAATAACATCCAACAACATCCTCCTGACTGATCGTATTAAAACACAAATATGGACGGTATGATTATTTAGCTGCACAGTTTGAAACATGAGCTGATTTCACATCCCTTTAGTGCGCACATTTACTGCTAGTAGCCTTATTTGCTACTAAAGCCATATTCTATATTTTGTATATTCAAATATATTTTTTTTAAATTTTACATTATATTCTATATTACTGTATTTATGTGTTTTAGTTTTTGTGTGTGTGTGTGTGTGTGCATACATGTCGAGGTGTGCATAAGGTTTAATTCATAATCATTCATAAGGTTTTAAATAACTATATTAAGGTCATAATTTGACACATAAGAACATTTAAAGGTTGTGTAGTTATACACTATAGTAATATTTTCTTTATTACTCTCTTTTAGTTCTTACAGTGTTTCCATTAAAAACAGAAAGTAAAGAACTTCAAATAAAAGTCTAAAACATCAGTTTGAGAGCCAGGCCGTCTTTAACAGCATGGGGTACGCTACATTCAGAATAACATACGGGCGATGTGATTAAGAAAGAATACGGGGATGAGCAGACACTACGAGTTAAAATCACTTTTTTAAACAGGAAATAAACAAAAACATGAAGCTGCTTTCCTTCACTTTTTAGAGAAGATTCCTGAGTCACACGTTGTTTGGATTTAGATTTAAGTTAACATATCTGTTTTAGTATTAAACGCTGTTAAGAAGACAAACTATACAAACTGGTTTCTCCTGGCAGCGTGAAGAGGCAGTAAGAGGAGAGTCTGCGGTCGGCAGGTTAGCGTGAGCGTCCTCAGGAGACGGCATTAAACACAGCCCCGTATTGATGTCCAATAAAAAGGGACCTCTGTGGAATTGTGGGAGACTGTTAAAGGGATCGTTTTACAGTGAAAGCAGCAGCAGTCTGTTTCCAGAGTGAGAGGTTCATGTTCGACAGCAGAGCCGACTGTAGGCTGCTTCAGCTGAAACATGTTTTAGATCCTCAAATGTTTCAGGAAGCAGAGGTCAGGGAAAGGGAAGCTGAACATGTCTGAGGTGTGTTGTTGACAGTAGTGTAATGCCTAAAGAAAAGTGGGTATACTCCTCATTTTTAGCCCAAAAGTTTGTTTTTAAGTGTCCCGTCCAGCAGAGGATAAATATGTTATAAACAGCGACATGTAAGACTACTCAAACATATGTAGTCAGTGTTTATTAACCAGTTAGAGACAGAGGAGGGTGGGTCATTGCTTCAACATCCTAGGAAAACTAATTTCAGCATACTACTGATTATTGTCAATCAATCACTGGGGTGAATCCGAGGAGATTTAGAAGTTGGTATACCCCATGGAAACTGAAAAAGAAGTGGGTATTCTACATATACCAGAGTCCCTCTGCACCTTTAAGAAAAAGCTAAAGAGCCAGCTCTTTATGAATACCTACTAACTTAATGATGATGGTCTCCATATTATTGATGATGATGTTGTGACGATGGTTTTTGTTTGATAACGATGACTTATAAGATGGTTTCTATACTGATTAGAGCTCTCAAGAACTGCCCTCAATGTTGTGCTTTGCCTCTGGACACTTCCTGTCAGCACCTGTGTGTCCAATCAGACTCAAAGCTGAGTGTGTGTTGTTCTTCCTCTCTGATGTACTGATCTGTCTGATGTCACTCAAACTAATCAGGAGAACAATTCCACCTCTGTGTGACTTAAAATAAATGATTAAATGATAAATGTTCAAATGCTCCCCCTCCCCTTTATAAGACATTTCAGGAGTAAACTTTTCAGTGGTCAGGAAAACTATTCCACCTCTGTGTGAGTCTTTAAATATGACTTTGACATGACTATTAGTAATATAACTTAAATCAGTCCTGGGCTGTCAGCGTGCCCATGGTGACAGTATTGAGTCATTACCATGACAACAATCATGGTCATGAAAAGTTTTATTTTTTTCCGTACTTTCTTGCTACATTGAGGGAGGAAGTTTTGTTTTAAGTTGTTATCTCGTATTACATTTACAGAGTGTGTCCCCTTGATAAAGTTCATGGTCTTCATGTGGACAGACCTGAGCTCCATCAGTGTGAGAGTGCAGCTCTGTGCAGAGTCAGAGGGGCAGATAGCTTCTCTCCACATTCACACACTGAACAAGAGCAAACTGAAAGATGTCAGAACGGTGATGGGGTCTTTCCTTCAGTCTATTTTTAAACCTTCAGATATTAAATCCAATTAAAGACAGAGTCCTTTCTGTGAGAGCACGGTGATCGTATTAACCAGTTAGACCACTGCGTCTGACACAACAGTCTGTTGTTTAGTCTAATTAAAGACCACACCTATTTAAACTGCTGCTATCACAGGAGGAGCGCTTATGGAAAAAACATCAGCATTATACAACATGTGTACCACACCCAGAGCGTGTCCAGAGGGAGACAATCTACTTCAAACACAGATTAAAACTCTGCCACTAAGAAAACAGAAGAACGTTTTATAACACTTTTTAAAGCTGATTTTTAAATATAAACAGCAATTTTTTTTGTCAGTTATTTTAGACACAAACAATTTGTAAAACCAGTTGAGAAGCCATCGATGCAAAAAATGTGTTTAGTCAGTAAAATCAATATCCATCCATCCATTATCTTAACCGTTAGTTAGAATGCGCACACACTAACTCTCAGTTCTTTCTGAAAGTGAGCGTAGGCTGCTGCCTCTTAGGTTTTTTTATCGAGTTAAATAACATAGTCTGAGATGTTAGAGACCTAGGGTCGGACAAAGCAACATATTTGATGATGTCACCATTAATTCAGGAAACACATACCATAACACTTCTATTAACAGCTCTATGAAAGCCTTACTTCAGTCTATGAAATGACTTTTGGGGCAGATACCAATACCAGTATTAGGGAGAGG